TGGCTGCTCATCCGAGAATTGCTTAGAAAGAAGCTGATTTCCCTCTCAGTACCAGTTTGCCATCGAAACGAATTAGTGAGTCGTTAAGAGGCATGTTTTTGACCGGTAGGCGATGAAGCTCAAGGAAGGGACTGGGAGCGGGATTTAAAGGAGATATCAAAAATACCAAATCCAGCACTCGAAGGATTCCTTTTTTCAGGAGGTTAAGAAAGAAACCAAGCCAAATCGTCTTATCAACTTGCTGTACCTTGCTAACGATGTCATACAAAACAGCCGGAGGCATTGTCCAAAATTTATGGAAATGTTTTATGAAAGTTTGGAGCCGGCATTCAGGTTGTCAACCTTCAGGATTTTATCCATTTGCATGAAATTTGTTATTGCATGTACTGAATTTCTTTTGACAGCAGTAAATATTTTTTTGAGGATAACTCTAAAAGCCAGATTCAAAGGGACTTCAGGTCAGAATGTCAAAATCGCTTTCATATTTGCTCAGTATTAGAGATGGGAAAGTAAGAAGTTATTCAGTAATAGTGACTTGTGGCAAGGCCAGTGGTAGCTCTGCCTTTCGTGGGTTGCTTACAGGCAAACTGATGGCAGATTTGACTGATCCTTGGCATGCCTAGTGCCGCTCTGGCATTGAAACAAATGAACAAATCCCATTAGCGAATTCAAAATAATCGAATCGGAAATGAGCGAAATTCATTCATCCACTATAGAGCTGGGGAAGCGTCTGTGTTTCATTCCTTAGCTGGAGCAGCGAAGCCAGATTGGCTTTTTTTTATACAGCAACAGTGCTGCTTGCCACTGCCTTGCTCGAAAGCCTACAGCTTATACGCTTGTTAGCTGCGAATGATATCCAGTGCCATCCGAAAACTGATTGTTTGGCTGGTGAAATGGATGAGTATACTTGAGGGTCCTGTCCAGTCTATTCATTTTCCTATAATCATTTCATATTTTGGCCATAACTTGTGTATTTTACATATATCGGTGGCAGCTTGCTAGCAGTACTTGTAAGGCACATGCGCTGTGGATAATATTGGGGAGTTTTACGGGGAATATATGGATATACATGTACTTCAAATTTTGTGATTGGAGCGAGAAGAAACACAACGATGAAAGAGCATGTGATCAAGGTGTCAAAGCAGGTTTCCAATCAGTGGATTTCTCAGAAAGAAGCATTTTCTTCCAGGCACGTAAGCCATCATGCCGATGCAGATGCTGTTGTGGCATTGAGGAAAATTTTGCGAGTTTTTCGGGAGCGACAAATTTATCCAGAAGCGAAGTTTGATCGTCTAGTAAATGCAGTAACTTCATCGTTAACTGGAATACGTCTTGTGGAATTTAATATTGAACTCGGAGGAACAAGCTTGACCGGCGAAAGCTCCCAGAAATCACGTATGACACCAACCACGCCACCGGCTTTAGGAAAATCACCGCAGGTATCGACGCCTACCGTTGACACGGATTCACCGGAACCGAAAAAGGTTGGCATTTTAATTTCGTCCTGCAGCGGACAGTGGTTCCTTTGCTCAGTTGCTACTAGTTCTTTTTCCCGCATCGATAAAGCTGGCAACTTATCCATTCTTATCAGCTCTGAGGTTATCGTATCCACGAATGTTTATAACTTATTTGAGTGGGGTTTTCGCCTCACTGATGGCCTTTAGGCAATTTTCGTTCGTGTAACATTGTTTTTGCAGAGCAGGTTCGAAGGCGAGAATTTCGACATAAAAACGATGACTAGGGTTACCGAAGAAGTGATAAAACTGCTGAAAAGACTTGAAGACCCACCGTCGGCTGATGCTGAAACACGGTATGGCTTTTCTCGCACTTAACAGAGGTTTGAAAAAGGGTTGATTTCCGGAAACCAGGAATTCTGTTTGGTAACAAATATATATTTTTCCAAAAATGATTTTGAACGTTTTAGTTCTTGGATTTTTCTAAATGACGCAAAAAGTTTTAGCCACTTGATAGCTTCTTTCCCGGAAACAATAGCGAATCCGGCACTTCTGAAGCCCATTAAAAATGAAGCGCAAGCAAAGGAGCTGTTCAAGAAGATCAAAGAATCTGAGCCAGTGGTCAAGGAATACTGTAAAAGGTATCTCATGGCACAAAATGTCATTTAAAATTTTTGACAGGATATGTTCTTGACAAGATATTACTTGGGGTTGTAGCTGATCAAAATGTTTGCTCGGATCAGCTATTCACATTTTTGTTTTTTAACTAGGCGTCTGGCAATTTTGCTGCGTTGCCTGGTGATCAGTTGTCTGCAAACTATCCTGATGTTTGTTTCGTCTCGTGAAGAGGTCATCAGTCAAGTGGTTTCCCGACAGAACCATGATTTTAGATGGCCTAAATTTTGCTCCTGAATTACAGTGAAGCACTTTACTGACTGTAACGTCGGGATGTTATTTGCTTAAATTTATTATCGTAATTTTCGAATCTAGATGCCGCTTTTAATGAGTAATTTTGGCAAATTTTCCAGGCTAGCAGCGGAAATGGATGACAGGCGCACATTGCAGCATTTGCTGCCGGATTATTTTGATTTTTTGAAGGCGAGTGCAATCAGAAACGATGAAATGCTGCGATCTGTACGGGAAAAAGTGGAAAAATTGGACCAGGAAAAAACAGCGGTTTGTTTATTTAAGTTTCAAGGAAAATTCACACTTTCAAACCAAAATTTTTCAAAGTCT